CTGGGCCACTGGTGTGAGTGACAGGGGTGGCCGAGCTCCCCACAACTGGGGTCCCAGGGGGGCAGCAGGGCCTGGCCCCTCACTCCCGTCTCTCCACAGCTACCCTGCCGGCTTCGTCTACATCTTCCTGGGCCTGTACTATGCCACAGGCCGTGGCACTGACATCCACCTGGCACAGTATCTCTTTGCTGGCCTCTACCTCCTCAACCTCCTCCTCGTGTTCCGTATCTACTGCAGAACCAACAAGGTAGCCTGGAGCCGGGGTCCTCGCTGGAGGCCTCAGTGCCTGTCCTGCTCTGCTGAGCCCGCACACTGGGCAGGAAGTCAGGGCTGGCATTGGAGGTATGGAGGGGCTCAGCAGCAGCAGGGAATCCGGGACAGGCTGCTGATTGCCCTCGTGTCTCTCTGTCCCCTGCAAGGTCCCCCCATATGTTTTCTTCTTCATGTGCTGTGCTTCCTACCGCATCCACTCCATCTTTGTCCTGCGGCTCTTTAACGACCCTGTGGCCATGGCCATCCTCTTCCTCGCCATCAACCTCTTCCTGGAGGAACGCTGGTCCTGGGGATGCTTCTTCTTCAGGTGAGGGTCTGGGGTCACATGGGGGCTGCCCTCCATGGTGTGCTGTGTGTGAACAAGCTCAGCACCAGGGAAGAGGCTGTGCTTGGTCCAGGGGCTGCCTGAGCACCCATGGTGGGGGCCGCAGCAGTAATGCAGCTTCCCACTCAGCCTGGCTGTGTCCGTGAAGATGAACATCCTGCTCTTTGCACCAGGACTTCTCTTCCTCCTTCTCCAACAGTTTGGTCTCTGGGGCTGTATCCCCAAGCTTTGCATCTGTGCCCTGCTCCAGGTGGGTCCCTGCTCAAGACATCACTACAGGAGCAGGCTGGCAGCCTCATCAGTAAGGGGTAGAGGGCTCTCCTGCCTGCATCACAGCATCCTGTCTGGGTGTCCTGTGGGCTGGAGGCCTCTGGGTGGAAACACAGTGGCACCAGCATCCGAGTTTGCCACACACAGCAAGCTGGAGCTTCACAAGTAATCTAAATTATGGGGCTCCCATCTTTGGCTGACTGTCCCTGTCACTGGGGTTCTCGGGAGGTGGAAAGGGTGATGGAGACCTTGCAGCTGCTGCGAGGGTGCTGGTGTGTCTCTGGCAGGTGGTTCTGGGGCTGCCCTTCCTGGTGGTGAACCCTGTGGGGTACCTGACTCGCTCCTTCGACCTAGGCCGCCAGTTCCAGTTCAAATGGACAGTAAACTGGCGCTTCCTCTCAGAAGAGGTTTTCCAGGATCGGGCTTTCCATGCCACGCTGCTCCTGGTTCACCTGGCTGGCCTGGGGCTCTTTGCACTGCACCGGTGGCACAGGTGAGACTTGGTATTCCCCATGGGTGCTGGTTCCCCCATGGAACCCCATTTCAGTCTGTCCCCATGGTGCAGGATATGGGTCCGTGCTTCGCTGCCTGCACAATGCTGCCGTTCTGGGGTTGCAGGCAGGAGTAGGGGTGAGCTAGTGTCCTGTTTTGGGGAGCGTGCTGCTCAGGCAGCGTGGCTTACAGGGGAAGGTTCAGGTGGGAAGGAATTTCAGTAGCTGTTGACATCGATGTTTATGCTTCCCTCTCAGGTCCAAAGAGAGCATCCTGGCTCTGCTGAAGGACCCTGCTGAAAGGAAACACGCGTCCCCTCCCTTGACAGTCAACAATATCCTTTGGCAGGGTGGGCAGCAAGAAAGGGGTGAGAAGGCAGGGTGGACCTTGGGGCTCAGCATTTGCAGGCTCCTGATCCTGCAGTGCTGTTAGGGAGTAGGAGCTGTGCTGTACAGCTGGGGAGCCGTTGCTGGATTGCACCTCCAGCCCCCTGTGTTTGTCCCCTTAACGCCAGTGCACAGATCGTCTTCGTCCTCTTCTCCTCCAACTTCCTGGGTGTCTGCTGTAGCCGCTCCCTGCATTACCAGTTCTATGTCTGGTATTTCCACACACTGCCCTACTTACTGTGGTGCACCCCTACCGCCAAGCTTGCCCACATGCCCAAGTACGTGCTGCCAGGAGAGGGACCACTCATCTGCTGGTGGGGTCTGGGAGCGAGCAGGCTGTTGTGTTCCCCCATGATGACCCACAACTTCTCCCCTTGCAGGGTGCTGCTGCTGGGTGTCATCGAGCTCTGCTGGAACACCTACCCCTCCACGGTCTGCAGCTCCCTCTCCCTCCACATCTGCCACGGACTCATCCTGCTCCAGCTGTGGTACGGCACGGCCCCCCCGCCAGTGACACACACACACCCACCAAGCAGGAGGCCTGCAGCCATCTCCAAGAAGGCACAGTGAGAGTGGACCCAGTGGGATGATGGGAAATGGCCTCTGGGACTGCCCCTTCTGCCTGCTCTTTCACCACCTGGCTCCCAGGCTGCCTCCAGCCATCCCAGGAGGGGCTGCGAGCCCTGGAACTGTGCAAAGGGAGAAGTGTGGGGACCCCCGACAGGCAGGCCTTCCCCAATAAAGGGGGCTTTGTGTGCCCTTCTCCAGCTGCAGCATCCTTGTGCCATGATGGTGTCCAGATGGCCATGCCTTGGCCTGCCCCACCTGTGGTGAGGCAGAGCAGCTGCTGAGCCCATGGGAGATCCCTTCCCAACCCTGGGAGAGTGCTGCCCAAGGCAGGGGAGCAGCCTTTGGGGTAAGGTTGCGAGATGATCTGGTGAACTGCTTTGCCTCAAGGTTTGAATCACCCAGATGCAGCCCAAAGCTGTACTTGATCCCTCCAGTACAGCTTTTCCTAGTCTCCTGCATGCTCCCTCCCACGGGAGATGGCTGGGAAGGGGGCGACCCCTTCCCCAGGGTTCTGATGAGCCCCAGTGTGACCTGAACAGGGCTGACGCCTCCCTGCCTGTAAGAGAGACACTTGTGCATGCAGTGTGGAGCTGGTCATATTTATTGGCCCCTCTGGTGGCCGTCAGACGTTATTGGGGTTGTAGCACAGCATGTTCAGCTTGATGTTCTCGTCCCAGTGACGCAGCAGCAGGAACAAGTGCCTGGCTGCCCCTTTGAGGCAGGGCACATTCACCCCCTCCGGCAGCCCCCGGGGCCGCGCGA